TTGCAGGGTTGTGTTGTTTTCCATAAAGTGTCCACTACAAATGAGTACAATTGATTGGGCTCAGAGTCGTTATCTATCAATGTTCCTCCACACTTTGTGAACTCCGCTATCATCGAGGATTTTATTGTCAGTCGTCTCAGTGGACACGTCACGAGCATTTGGTACAGAATACCTCCAGTATGACAATTCAAGACATCCGTTTTAGCCAGCGCGCGTTTGATACTTTACCAAGTACTCCTTTTTGATAAACTGCCTGAACAGCCGTACAAGAAAGGCCTGAACTTTATCATGAGACAAAACCCCACAGTCTAAAGGGGATAATGCATGAGAGAGAAAATCAGGGAGAAGCAAACTCAGTAGGTACCTTGGATTCCCTCTCCCAGGAAGGCGGACCAGACGTGCATAGACTGCGCGGTGGGTAAATTGAAAGAGAGAGAGGAGCGCGAGCGATGAAGCGTAGTACAAAATGTTTGGAAATGCATGTGTGTATAATAGGAAGATGAATCCACGAGTATACTCCTCCAGGACTTATGATCCAGGACCACAGCACGACTCCAGATCGGAAACTGGTGGCCGTTGTGCCGCTCGGCGGACATCTTACTGTCTTCTCTCTCTGTCTATACCTGTGTACTCTCATGGTTCCGATGTAACCCACTTCCCCCAAATTTCTTTCTTTTTGTGTCAATATACGCGGGATCCGAGTCATTGGATATCCCTGCGTCCTGTGTCAGGTATTGCGAGTCCTGGATCTTGAGTCGTGGCGTGGTCCTGGATCATAAGTCCTGGATGGATATACTCGTGGATTCATCTTCCTATTATACACACATGCATTTCCAAACATTTTGACTACCTATGTTGCAAATGTATTATCTTTTCAATTTACACACGGCATCTATTGCACGTCTGTCCGTTCCTGGGAGAGGGATCCCTCCTCTGTTGCTCTCCCTGAGGTTTCTCCCATTTTTCCCTTTAAACTGTGGGTTTTCTCTGGAAGTTTTTCCTTGTACGATGTGAGGGTCTAAGGACAGAGGGTGTCTAATTGTCATACTGATATTCTGTACAAACTGTGAAGTCCACTGAGACAAATGTAACATTTGTGATATTGGGCTATATAAATAAACATTGATTGATTGATTGATTGATTATAGTCTGATATGGAAGGTTTGAAAATGTAGTTTAGAGCCCACCTGCATGCTTTTAAACAATACAATTCCTTGAAATGAATAAGCCTATAAGGCTTAAAGCCTTTGTTAATGTAGGCTACTGGCTGTTTTCAGAGAGAACTGCAAGATGTAAGTAGCTGTCAAACATACATTTCTTGCAAACAGCAGCGTTTTGATAGTTATGATAGCATCTATTACCAATAATCATTAAAAACCCAGTGAGAAGATAAATTCTAAATATTTCACTTCCAAATCAGAGAATCCAAAAACACAAATGTACCTGAAATATTCCAGACAAGAAGGTTACTGCTGCTGCCACTCGGACCCTCTCTGCATCCCGTAAGTCAAAGTTGACTTGACTAGAGTTGGTCACATTGTCCCAATCCATAAAGTTGGAGTCTGGGGCTAATCGTTCTATCACCCCTCCTATCATCACACTCATCACCGCATATGTTCCTGAAAAAAGGAGACAGAGACATAAACACACATTTTTAATCAGCATTCAAAAATACATTGGACATTTTGAGAGATATTTTGAACCTTTGAACAGAAACCTAATGTTTCTCTCAACATTTACTTTTTTTAAGTCTTTGCCCATTTTGTATTTACACCTCGAAATGAGCAATACAAAAGGAGTTGTGAAGTTGGATCATACGTTTCGGGCAGGCAAGGTTCCAAAGATAAATGTCATATTCAAGGCATTAGAGGCACTTGTGTGGCTCAAGGATACATCTTCACAAGTCTACCATGCTAAACTGATTTATTTATTAAATGGTATGGTTTTATGTGCTCATGCTGACATAGAGATGCCACTGTTCAAGTCTGATCAGACCACACTAATACAATCTTCAAAGTGCAATGCTGATATTTTTTATATTATCAGAGTAGTTTTTATTCTTATTTGAGACCAGGTTTTCAAGCTTTAAAAACAAGCATGTCAAACGTGTATTAACGCTTAAAAACCAAAAGATTTTAGTGGACAAATGAATATCCTTAGACTGTTTGTTAACCTATATCCGTTTTTTCTTTTTTTGTCCAAACAACATTCTGATGGATTAAATCCCCCTTCTCCAAACAACTTGTGTGCAGATACAGCAAGGGGTAAAGTACAAACCGATTGAGATGTGCTTGGAGGTGCCGAAGATGAAGTAGATAAGGACGGGGTAGAAGGAGGAGTAAAGGCCAAAGACTGGAGGAACAGATGCTAGCAGGGCATAGGCCATACCTGCAAGGAAAGCATATGGAGATAGTAAGTACAGAAAAGGTTTATAACAACATATCAGGGTAATGCAGAACCTGCATTTTACCATGTTAAATAAATGATAATTCCATTAATTCCCCCAAATGACCCCTCCACTACACTGATCTCCTGAACCTCCAGCCTCACCCTGCGGCAAATGCATGATTCCCACGCTGATTCCAGAGACCAGGTCACCCAGGGCGTTTTCTCTGATAGAGTACCGAGGCAGCCACGATACAACAGGAAAGCTACCCAGCAGGCAGCTCTTCACCCTGGGACCAGAACACCTTAGTGTGTGTATCAGAGAAAAAAAGAGACAGAAACATTTTGTGAACATGTATCAGCATACGTGTTAAGTCTGAAAATAAGGCACCTTGAGGCCATTGTCACTTTGCCACTAATGTTGACCTATCTTTTTTCATCTTATTACAACAAAAAGTTAATAAATGATCTTTATCCTCTCTGCTTCCTCTTGTAATCATTCGAGAACTTAACACTATTCCTACATTTAAAAGACATGACGTGTAGCTTTTTTCTCAGACAAAAAACACATTTTGTGATTGACTTTAAATCTAAAATGTGGACAAAAGTGAAACTACTGAGTGAAAGACCTATTGACATGCATAGCCCAGGCTTTTGCAACAGGATAATAAAAATAATCTGACGTAAAATAAGATAATCCTTTATTGATTCTTCGAAGTAAGAAGGTGTTGCAGCAGCACAAATACAAAATTAGGCGCAGATAAAGATAAGTACAAAAATAGGAATAAATTAAGAGGTATACATCAATAGAAGAGCAAATAATGACAAAGAGTTAAAGGGGCATCATGTATGCTTAATCGCGGCAGATAAATACAGTATATGCTGTGATTAAGTGTTGTCTGTATTAAGATAGCAAAGTGGGAATCACATAAAGTATATAATGTTGAAAGACAGTATAAAATGTTACCATGGTATTGTTTGATATAGTAAATGTCTTATTGCACAAGTTGCTGACTGTCATATTACGTACTAAGAGAAAATTGTTGTTATAATTAAGTCTAAATTATCAGGGGCTGGGGATAATTAACAAGTACAGCTCTATGACTTAAGTAAATAAATACAATATCTGGTGTTTGAAGACTCATTTATTCCCATTGTGTCCCAAGTGCTTTATGCTTTGATTCAAAATGCACATATAAAGGACAGAACACGTCTCAGTATGTTTAGAGAGATTAGTTGAGATGCAGCAAACTTTACCTCATTGACTTTTTAAGCTTCTCGGACAAAGATGTTTTTGAGTCTGACTTTTCTGCCATCTCATCCACGGCTCCTTCGTCCAGGATTTCCCTCTGAACGTTGTAGCCCGCTCGTCTCCTCTCCTCCATGGCTAAATCTAGCAGCGACATAAACAATTACCAGCTTCTATATTTGTTGAGTCAGAAAATCCAGTTCTTATATTTTTCAATGCCTATTGCTCAAATGCTGCAATTGTATTTTTAACAGTGTTTCCCATGTTGTTAGAATAGACATTCAAATATATATTCTAAATTCACAACACATTACCATATCTTTAATATTTTAATCTTAATATTGTTTTGGCATAATAACAGCTGTAAAGAATATAATTTGATAAGTCCATGTTCATTCAGGTCCTAATCACGATCCTTTTGGGACTGAAGGGTTTGATTTGTTGATGTTAATTACCTTTGTGTGTTCAAGCTGTATCAGCAAAAAAAGCCTTAATTAAGTTTTTATAATTGTTATATATATTTTTTAAATGCCACGAGCCCTGAGAAGAAAAAAAATGCAAGTTGACTGTGATCAATATAATTGTTTCCGGCGCTGAGAAAATAGATCCAAGTCGAGGTCTATTTCTTGTCAGTGGTTAATGCAAATATTCCAGCTTTATAAAAAACAAAACAAATCTCAAATCATAAAATGGCACATCCCTCTTGATAAAAAAAATCTATCCTTCCTGTGTGGAGAGGTCCCTGGGCTTCTGATTGAATCTGCTGTAGATCCTTCCTTCAGATCCAAGCGGCTCCAAGTGGTATCAAAAGAGAAATCATGTTTCGCCAACAGACAAAAGCCAGGTTTGATTTTATAATCCCAGAGAGGAGTCTCTGACAAAATATACAACCAAAAAACCTGTGCATATAAATGTTTCTCTCCTCCCTATCTCCTCTTTCCTTCAGTTGTCTCAGGGTGAGACAGTCTCCACCGATGCTGTAGCTCGCCACTGTGCGTAGTGACGTTAAACAGAAGTCTAGATGGAGTTGGACATTGTTATGGAGTGAGAGGGCAAAGTTCAAACAGTGCATGTTGTCCTGTAGAGGAAGCAACAAAAGTGGTATAAACTAGATAGTACCATGTATGTTTGATCATTTACAGAGTAAGTTTATGTAATTATTGTAATTAGATTTGTATTTTTCTTGTTAATCACCTTAGTCCAAGAGAATTTTTTTCAAAATGAAACTAAAATATACGCCTTAGATTATGTCCTATGTGTGTGTTTAAGTCTAATATTGTTTCTGTATTTGATTAGATTTGTCAACAATTTCAGCTTAGTCAGTAAAAGCCTTATTGTTAATTTATTATTACTACCAAAAGTGAGTGAATTCAGATAGCTTGCCTTATCAGTGCAGAACAGACACTGTTTAACGTATCAGGACAAACCATATGCTTTCTTAAAGACAAACTGTGTTTTATAGGTAGATAAGAGACTCTGATCTTTTCATTAATAAGTCACACTACACTAAGGTCTTTTTTTCTTCCCTTCTACAAAGTCGTAAGTGGGTTGGAGTCCCATCTGGGTTGACTGACTGCCAGCAGAGGGGCACTCTCTGAAAAAAACACATTAACATCGACTAATCCCACGTGTGCAATGATGATCAAAATGGAAAACCGGTTTTAATTCAACTGGAATCTATGACTTGCCCAGTTTATGGTGTAAGAAGCCCCAGTGGCCTAAAGTCAACGAATAATTTATCAAAATCTTCTCAAAACTTGTGTCGCAAACACATCTGTTTGCGCGTTGCTCTCTGGCAGGCTGAGGGGGGCTGCGTCCCACGCTTGAGATGCGTTTAAGGGACATCTGTACATTTGGGATGAATAATATAAAACGGTTTAGTCCAACATTCATCGACAGAACAGTCAATGAAGTACTAAATATTATTGGACATTCAAATGAAGCATTTTTATAATGAAATCATGCAGCCTACGACGCAGCAGAGTGGCGCAGCGGAAGCGTGCTGGGCCCATAACCCAGAGGTCGATGGATCGAAACCATCCTCTGCTAAGTGTTTTGAAGCGGCACAGTTGACACAATATCACGATTTGCTGATGATGAAAGAACCTAGTATGTTTTTCTCTGCATGATTTGTTTGTACCTCTCCTTTCAGCTCAGTCATTAAAGTTCATTTATTATTTCACCAAAAGAGAGTCAATCTAAGGGCGTCACTGGTTAATTTATCGGGACAAACAATGTGCATTCTTAAAAACACAGTCTGCTTTATAGGTAGATAATAGACTATTATCTTTACTTTGCCAGTTGTGTAAAGTTGTTAAGTACATTTACTCAAGTTACTTTGCAGATTTTGATTAATAATGTGACTTATAAACAACACTTAAATAAGACTTTAGTTTCACTTACACCCGGAGTAAATAATGACATAGCCTATATAATTCTGAAATGGACGGATCTGTATAAAATATTATATAGCCTACTTTTGTAGCCTACATATAACTGAGGAGTATTTTGATTTAACTTGTAACAAAATATTCGACTTTTACTAAAGCAGACGATCTATTAGTAGGCTACTTCTCTCTATGTAGGCTACATGTACATTGCTGAGTCAAAATGTTGCTTGACTTCCTCAACTTCTCTCAACAGCCTCTCTTTCACTGGCAGTCCCCCCTCTGTAGGCTGACGGGGGTTGCGTACGACGGACTTGAGATGCGTTTAGGGGACATCTGTACATTTGAGGTTACTCAATATAACATGGGTTTTTAGACCATGGATGTATAAAAAGAAGGTTTAGACGTGCATTGTTGACAATGAATGAAGAAATGCAGATTATTATTTGTAAATAAAGTTATGGAGACACTCCAGACAGCAGAGTGGCGCAGCGGAAGCGTGCTGGGCCCATAACCCAGAGGTCGATGGATCGAAACCATCCTCTGCTAGGTGTTTTTATTCGGAACAGCGGACTCGGAGCTCGTTTACTTAGAACCACGTTATCATTTGTCTAACTACTGGAATACCACAATTCGTTCGTGGTTAAAGTGACTTTGGTATTTATTTGTCTGATGATAAATTAACATAGTATGTTTTTATCGGGATGTTTCGTTTTGACCTAAAAGTGTGTAACCATACACAACATCGGGATGAATTGTAACGCTCTGAAAACACTGAGATGATGTGGTGAATTGTCGGAGGAATGCAACAATGGAAACAGAAATGTTTTCATACCAGAAAAATGTTGGTTCATCAATAAAGAGTAACTTGACATATTGTTTTTGATGACTCAAACCTTGCTGTCACAGTTGGGTGAGTTTAAAGGTGCATTAGAGATCACTCCTGAGTCCTGACCGCACCCAGAGGCAATCTGTGGGTTACTGTGTTGTGCTTGCTCAACATTTATTTTTAATTCAAATTATTAAGTAGGCTACATTGAGATGGACACTTTTAAAACACAACATGTTTTAAGCAATTAACTTTTATAAACTTTGAGCCATGTTAATCTCCTTAATGGCGCATAAGACTGGCACCAGATAACAAGCTTTTATATTTATTAATGTAATTATCTTATCAATAAGAGAGCGGAATCAATAGTGACTCATTATTCATTTTTTTATTGCATACCCACTTACTGTAGTTTTGAAATGTTTCTTCTTTATTCAGTAATGCTTCATTTTTTATTTGGCATTCATTTATATTTTGTATCTTTTCATGATTTCTGGCATAAACAGTTGCCCAATTATGATAGAGCCAGGAACTAAGGAAAGGAGCAAAAACATATAAGGTACTGAAACACGTAAAAAATAGAAAAGCAAGGGAAAAGATACGACAATTTAACTAAATTAATGGTTTCCCCCCAAAATGAAAGGTTTCAGTCCTCATTAATCACTCTTTACAATGTGCATGAAACAGTGTGCATGAAACAGTGTCCTATCCACCATACATTTTGTAGTTCTATCATTGTTGTGTCCTACCACTTGGTTATAACTGCACAACTTCTTTCATTCACACGATCTGCATCTGGAAATGAAAAATAAACCAGTATGACTGGCCAGTCATACTGGTTTATTTTTAAATTCCAGATAATTTAATTATGACTTGATCCAAACCACAGAACAGGATAGACAGAGATTAAGACGTGATTATGAAAGTAAAGTTGACTCCCATCCAGTGGCGAAACTACCAGGGTGGCATGGGGTGGCAGCCGCCACCCCTGAAAAGGGGTCTGTCACCCCACCTGCCACCCCAGTCAAAAAATACCAACTGATGATTTATTGGATAATTATTATTAATATCGTTTTAAGATCAAAACAAATTCAAAACAATCCAAAATCGGTGTCAAACTGCAGAATGTCAAATTTGAAAAAGAAACTTGTTGGTGCAGCCGCAAATCTTTCGTTGGTTTAGTGGTCTGTGTCCATGTCCAACCATTCATCAATACCGAGGCCCCCCAACAAATCAAAATTAACTTTAAAATCTGACATTTTGTAGCTACCGATTTCCAACGAGAGACAATGTATAACAGTGTAACGGCTGTGTGTCGCTAAACCTCGCTATGGAAACCATACGATGTAGGCTCATGGAAGTAGTTTCGGTAGGCTAGTGGCGTGTGTAGGCCACTGGATACTTTGTGATTAGGCACGTTCTATTTGATCGTTGTTTGATCGTGGAATCAAACACGCCTATTGACCAATCAGAGAGCTTGCTCAAACCTATGTGTTATAGAATATTAGATACAATAATTTGAATCAAATGCAGTCATCAGAAGAAAAAAGAAAACCAAATCCAGTTGCATGCCTTTAACCTCACCACCAATAAGCTAAAGGAGGAATAGAGTTTGAAGTAGCTTGTGCTAATCATTCACCTTATTAAAGGAATGTAACTAAAAACGTATTATAAAACATTTGCTTAAAGATCAGGGAACTGTAAGTGCAACATGCTACATTGATTCCAGTTTAAAGACTGATTCCTGCCGCACCATAATAATAAAGAGCTCAGTGAGGGGGAACATCATGAAACAATTACATTTATTGTTTGGAAATGTGTGAGAAGTGCACAAAATACATATTATGAAAGGAGATATTTGGTGTTTCTGCCACCTTAAAGCCCAAACTATCACTACAGTGTTCTTGTTAGAGTGAGATGACTTAACTGTCTGTCATTCACAATTAAAGGCCGCAGTCATGTAGATTTAAAATTCAGTTGCATCCGAAGTAAGTTCCTGAGAAGAGATAAAAACAAATAAACAAACATTAATATATTGTAAAATGCTGCTGTGCACTATACATTCAATGAGGTGTAAACTGAGTACTCCACTGATCTTGCACTCCTACATCATTGTACAATAGGATCAAAATTGAGGCAGCAGAACCAGAGAGTCTTCTTTTATTCTTCTTAAAGATACCTGGTGAGTATGCCTCTTAAACTGCTGCCATTTTGGTCAGGGATTCTGTTGTGTTATGCTAGTAGTGGCTAACGTCGCCTCACGGTGCTAACCTCCACCAGACATGAGGAGTGGGCTTCAGAGGTCTAGTAAGATCACTTCTTTTTAACACCACAACAAATACATTTGTCTTTCTCATTTTAGGACTTACAGTCTCCAGCCGCAACTGAAGCTTACTAAAGTCACATCGCTTAATGGCACTGAGATTTTAGGCCGCTCATTAGAGGGCAACTAGAGGCTTTATCCCAGGGGTGTCAAACTCAATTTCAACTCGGGTCACAATAGCATCATGGTTTCACTCAAAGGGCCAGTTTTATATATATGACTATATAATTAAGCAATAGCTCACGACAGGCCGTGGTATATGCTCATTATATCACAGCTAAGGGGCGTGGTTCGGCCCGACGCGAAGCGGAGGGTCGACAACTGCTTGGAGTGGTGAGAATATTGCTCCACTTTCTCCGGTTCCCGAGATTGGGCTTCCAGTAGCTCTGGAGAGAGCTTTCGCACCTGTGGCCACTAACGGTCATAATTTCTCTGCTTTGTTTCAAGACCCGCATCAGAAAGCTTTTGAATGGTGGTACTTTTCCAGTTGGTCTACCTGCTCTTCACGTAGCTCTGCATGTCATCGTTTAGGTGCTTTTTTTTTTCTGGAGATAGGCACTGCTCAATCCACTCCTCCATAGTAAGACCCCCCCGGACGGTCGAAGTTAATCTTAAATGTTTCCATCTTATGCTTTGTAAGTTTGTTTCGTAACGGAAGAAATTTAAATATATTTATAAAACTGACAAGTCAAATCAAGCAATCTGATTGGTCGATAGCGTTTTTGCGGACCTCTTTGATTACAGATTTGAAAACATCGTTGCTTGCTTTAAAAGTAGCACAATTCATTATGTTAAACCTTCAAAAGTATCTAGATATCCCTGCCCTAATGCCAAAGGAACTGCACACTGAATATGTTTTGCCGTTTGATGTGTATGTCTGGGCCGCTGCGTAAAAAGGAGGCTTTCTGCCCCGTTACTTCTCCGCTGCTTTCTTGTTCCAGTTTGCCCAACTGTATACTGTGTTTCTCAGGCACGGAGGGATACCGACTTGTTGTGAAAAGTAAAACTCACAATTCTACCCGTGGTATACGCTCAGTATATCACGGCTAAGAACCAATCAGATTGCTTGATTTGACTTGTCCGTTTTATAAGAATAATTCTATAACACATAGGTTTGAGCAAGCTCTCTGGTTGGTCAATAGGCGTGTTTGATTCCACGATCAAACAACGATCAAATAGAACGTGCCTAATCACAAAGTATCCAGTGGTAGGCCACTGGATACTTTGTGATTAGGCACGTTCTATTTGATCGTTGTTTGATCGTGGAATCAAACACGCCTATTGACCAACCAGAGAGCTTGCTCAAACCTATNTTTCTGTTCCTCCGAGGGAAAGATTTCCTCGGGAAATCACTCACTCTGCATCGTCTGATTAGCAACAAAAACTCACTGCTGCACACAGAAACACACAGAAGCACTAGGACACACACAGACACACACAGAAACGCACAGAAACACAAGGAAACACACAGAAGCACACAGACACACACAGAAACACACAAACACACACACACACACACATTCAGAGTCTCTGAAAGCTGAGCTGTGATAATAGAGGCATTCAGACGTACTGAATGGGGAGTGAAGGGGAGGAGAAAGGGGCTGTAAACTCTCTGTCACGTGCAGAGTTCAAGGCTGTTCTCAACCTTCCCCGACTGAAAGTGTGTGTGCACGTCTGTCGCTCTCTCTCAATGCTTCCATTTGTTTGGGTTACCTATACAGTTCCTAATACTAATTTTAACTTTGTCATCCAACTTAATACACACATTTGACACTTATTTATACAAAAAGAGCTTGACACCCATTGAACACAAGAACAAAGTGAACTTTGACTGTTCTGTCAGATCTTTGACATTGATTTCAGAAGGACAGCTTTGAGTGAAATGGCCTTCCTCACTACACTACAGGCAGCCTTATCGCGCTGTTGCCCTGGGCGTAGCTCAGCTGGATGTTCTTCACAGTCCCTGGCATTTTTTAAAAGGGTGAAGGCACAAGGTTGGTAAGTAGAATGCGAGGTTTCGTTTTTGGCCTTTTATGTGCGTCAATGTGGGCCCTGTGCCAGGCTTTTTATCACAAATGATGTGGCCATAAACTGTGTCTGTTTGTGTGTGTACATGCACACTGTTGCACGTGAAATCTTTATACCCATGCGGCTTTGTGGTGATACGGATAAGGTCAGCCACTTTCTCTCTCAATGCTTTGGTCTGTTTTTCTTATCTTTACAGTTAATACTACTCGTCTTGATCTTTGTCATTTACCAAATACACTAATTTTACACTGATAAAAAAAGAAAGAACACGAGATATATTAAGCAAACATGAACAAAGTGAACTTTGACTGCACTGCCGGTAATCTTTGAAATTTCAGATGGGGCAAAATGGCCTTCCTCACAACAGGCAGCCTTATCTCGCTGTTGCCCTGGACGAAGCACAGCTGGATGTCCTTGGGCAGCGAGTAAGAAACAAGTCCCTGTCAGTTTTGGAGAGGGTAAAAGCACAATGTTGGTACGTGGGATTATTTGTTTGGCCTCAGTTTGAGCCAGGCTCTTTATCTCAAACTCTAAAGCCATAAACTGTGTGTGTGTTCCTCAGGTGTTCTGGTCCCAGGGTGAAGAGCGTCCTGCTAGGCTTCTTTCCTATCCTGTCATGGCTGCCTCACTACTCCATCAGAGAAAACGCCCTTGGAGACCTGGTGTCGGGAGTCAGTGTGGGGATCATACATCTGCCAACAGGTGGGGATACTGCAGCAGAGGATAATCACGTAAAGAGTCTCAACATGTTTTAAATGACAACAAACTGCATAACACAACAGCTTCACACTACTTCAGCTATACCTGCACTCCTGCAGGATGGAAGGGTGGAAATTGAGAGTATACGACTCTAGCTGCCATGTGTTATAACCCTGAGCTTGTTGTAATCTACTTTATTTTTTTTATATGAAGAGGAAGTCTCATCAACACGTGTATAGCCACCACTCAGACAAGCAAGTGGCTTTTAAGCTCCCTTGATATAAAAAATGATATGATATTTATTTTTCTTATTGAGCTGGTCATCACCCATAGTATTTCATCTAAATCTAGCCCAACTAATTGGGAAATGTTTTTGTTGAAGAAAACAATCTGTTAACTATGACAGATACAACAATATTAGGGCTAAATTACAGCTGACACAATATAAAAGTAGGATATTATTTACATTTAGTGTGCAAGAATGGCATAATAAATTAATTACAAATGTCCAGTGTGAAGTTATAAGTCAAGTTAACAAAAGAAAAACTATGGAGCTATGAGTTCTCGAAGTGATTTTGTATTGCAGTAGGCAGGAATGTTTGACCAAGTTGTTAAGTGGTAAAAATGTTGATACAGATTCAGCGCTGTAAGCTCCTGCAAAGGCCAATGAATGAATATCTGTGAAGCTTACTGTTTTTATAGGACACCTCTCCTCTTCTCTCCCAGGTATGGCCAACGCCATGGTGGTGGGAGTTCCTCCCGCGTTTGGTCTCTACACCTCTTTCTATCCTCTGATCATCTACTTCATCTTCGGCACCTCGAGACACCTCTCCATCGGTGAATGTCTACATTCATCTCTCTGAAAAGGCGTTCTTATCTACTGCCTGGTTCAGTCTTCCATGAGTGCTTTGTTCATGAGCCCTACCTGAAACTTATGTTACTTTGACACAACATATGTTTAATAAACTAAAGAAAAAAACTGATCAAATTAAAAAGGGCTAGTAGGCCTGGTTGTATTTTTAAATATAATGTAATATTCACAGTATATCCATGTGATAAACAGCAATTTTGAGCCTTAAACTCTAGTGAAAAGCGAGTAAAGGAGTTGTTTACAAAGTGTTTGTGTTTATGTGTTGCAGGTACTTTTGCCGTCCTGGCCATCATGATCGGGTCTGTGACAGCCAACGTGGAGTCGGTTAGTAACAACAACGGAGACAGTCAGGCTGATGTTGAAGCGGCCAAAGTGAATGTGGCTTTACAAGTCACCTTCCTCACTGGCCTCATACAGGTACACACACACACGCACACACGCACACACGCACACACGCACACACACACACACACACACACACACACACACACACACACACACACACACACACACACACACACACATTATACAATACATGGACAAACAGAAGGAACAGGCTCATAGTCATTGCTGTGCAGCTCAGGTTCAACACAAGCAGGAGAAGACAGAAGTCCCCTGCAGAAATTCACAAAAGTATCACATGTATTTGTAGCCATATATATATTATAGAACACACACACAACCTGCTTTGAAGCAGTACAAATTCAAAGTATTGCCTCTCTCCCTCCTCTTGAATGTGTGGGAGACATGCATTGTGACGTTAGTAAAAGTTGTCATAATCAAAGAAACAGCACATATATTAGGAACAGATTGTCATGTCAAATGATCATATAATCATTTGAAACATATCTTGTACTCTGATTGCCTTTTACACTGTTAAATTGTATTTTTAGTCTTGTATGTGTTTAACAGAGACACATGTTTAGGATTTACGTTTCAGGAGGGCAAAAGGAAGTGAAAAAGGTGGATTTGTAAATGGTTAAGGACAAGGGCGTTTTATGGTTTAATGACGGGATGTATGTACGACCAGTTGGCTGTTTCATTTCATAAATATATAGTGGGGCTGTAAGCTGTGTGCAGAACTTCTTTATCCTCTGAGGATGAAGTTGCTCTGTTCCTGCATTTGAGATCGATTTCAATTGTATATTGACTTTTTTTATTACTTTATTAAATATAATAAAAGACAAACTTTGTCCATGCATCATTTATCAGTTTCTCTTAAGAATTTCCTCCACGCAGATCTATAGGAAACTCTAAACTGTGTGTGTGTGTGTGTGTGTGTGTGTGTGTGTGTGTGTGTGTGTGTGTGTGTGTGTGTGTGTGTGTGTGTGTGTGTGTGTGTGTGTGTGTGTTTGTGTTTGTGTTTGTGTTTGTGTTTTCTTCCAGACTTTAAAGGATGTTTTGCTCGGAGTGACCAGCGCTGTACCAGGAGCGCTGTCAGTCTCCGTGGTTTCCATGGTGATACTAATCGGAGGCAAGATGCTGAATGAGCGCTTTAAGAACAAGCTGCCTGTCGCCATACCGTGGGAACTTATACTGGTGAGGGGAGCACAAACACACATATACATGTTCACACACACGTTGAGTTGAGTAGACTCATGCTCATTAGACCCAGATGGAGAGATGCAACAGTGATGATCTGTAGAGTGACTCACAGTTATATAAAACATTTTCATCACAAAAAACACAATTATAGAATATACATATATCTCCCTCTGGCCATTCTTTCTTCTGATGTTTTTCTATTTAATGTCATTTATTATAAAGATTTTGTAAGCAATTAGTGGTTGTACTGAGTGTAAGGAATCCAGTGTAATTCTTTGTTAAATATTGTAACCAAAACCCTAGAATTAAGATATTATTGGCAATAGAAATGTTGCTGGTTACTTTAATAAAAAACAAAGAAGCTATATTTTATAATCTTAAAATTACATGGACATGTGGTTTTTGTCATAGTAACGTGATGATTTATACAACATGGATGATTAAAATCTATCATTTATAAAACAGCATATTGTTTACTCTGTGTTGCTTAGCTAAGATACCAAACTTCATGATCTGTTGAGTAATGGTGAACTGCAGTGTGATATGGCTTCAACCCACCACTAGCATAGGAAAAGCCATCTAATTATGATAATGTGTGTATGTGTACATCTATGTGAATGTGTAGTGTGTGTAATGTGTAACAGACTAACTGATCTGACATTAAGACTACTGTATATTATCGTATTTGAAATGGGACATTCTTTGCACTAAATGTCACGTCCATTGTTTTCCCCGCAGATTGTGCTGGGCACCATGGTGTCCGTGTAGATGGACCTGGCCGGCCAGCACACGGTCCAGGTGGTCGGAGACATACCCAGTGGGTCAGTAGAACTATGTCATGTCTGTTTTTTCCCTTGTCATCAATTAGTCATTTTCTAAAACAAACATTTTTCCTGAGTGTCGATCTTCATTTTGCTGAAGCAGATGATCGTTGTTAAACCAAACAATCTGCCATCCCCTTTCTTTCTCTTCCTCATCCTCCTCTTCTCCAGCCTGTCCGCCCCAGTCCTCCCCTCTCTCTCTCAGGCCAGAGAGCTGTTTGTTCCCGCTCTGTCTGTGGCTCTGGTCAGCTTCAGTTACCTCTCAGCCCTGGGTTCAGTGTTTGCCAACAAACACGGCTACCACATGGACTCCAGTCAGGTACATTCATGGCAGTTGTTAATGCTCAGTATGTATATCATTATTTGTTATCGGATGGTTATGTTGAATCACTCAATCAGTAAATCACTCCTGAGGCACTGGAGAAATAATGTGAGCTTACAGTGTATTGTTATTTATCCTGGAATAATCCCTGTATTCATCCATCATTCTGTATTTACCTTTAGAAGTACCAGCTCAACAGTTATAACAATGATTTTTTACAACATTTATGAGCACTTCCTGCCATTGTGTGTTCTCCCACCTGTGAGATTGTCAGCCCCTCCCTTGGGTGTCCCCTTACCTCTTGCGTATCTATAGTCCTCGTCTCACTTTGTCCTGTTCCAGTTCGTCTTGTGTCATCAAGAGAGACAGCTTTTTCAATCCAAGAACCCATCGTAGCTTTTTCTCCTTGTCAAGTTTATTTAGTTGTGTGGTTTTGATTTGCTCTTATTACATTGTGCCTCTGTGAGTGATTTGTTGTTGCTCCTAGAAGTAAAGACCTTTTTAGATTTTTGAAACCTGGTTTGAGTCCTGCTTTTGAGTTCCAGTACCTGTGTCACGTTCCTAACAGTTCGTAATTCAAAAGGAGGCTTATTAAAGAAGGATCATTTTGGCAGTAAATGCTATACAGAGGCCTCGGTCCACAGCGACATTTACATATATTTAGCAGATCGCTTGCCGTCTTTTCAAATACCTGTCGTGTGTCTCTGGGTCAGGACCTGCTGGCTCTGGGTCTGTGCAACACCGTAGGAGCGATGTTCCAGTGCTTCGCTGTCAGCTGCTCCTTCTCTCGCAGCATGGTCCAGGATAGCATCGGTGTCAAAACACAGGTATTCTATTCTATTCCAAAAGACAATCAAAAACACAAACTCACTTTTGCTCTGAAATGAGTTCTAAAGAAGTTCTTGTAATGACTCTTTTACATATTATTTTCTTCAATGTTGTTTTTTTTCTCTATTTATTTTCTTTCTGTTCTTTTCATCCTATGCTAAGATGGCTGGTTTGGTATCAGCTCTGTTGATTCTGACCATCCTGTTGAAGATCGGTCACCTCTTCGAGCAGCTGCCAAAGGTAACGCTTATATTGGATAACAAATATCTTAATCACATATATTGTTAAGCAAGTAACAAAAGTTGTGTGTTGACAGTTCTCCACCCTGTATGGCTTCCTATAAACCACCATAGATGACAATGAAATAATGGAGCAAATCAGTGAAGATGTTTGAAAGAAATGTCAAGTCACGCTCCATCTGGAAGAGACTTACCCTCAGGATGACTCATATTTGTTCACTCACACACTGCTGTCTGTTCCAGGCAATGCTGGCAGTGATCATCGTGGTGAACCTGAGTGGCATACTGGCTCAGTTCAAAGATGTGTGTGTGCTCTGGAAGTCTGACAGATTAGACCTGGTGGGCTACACACACACACACACACACACACACACACACACACACACACACACACACACACACACACACACACACACACACACACACACACACACACACACACACACAAACATCATTATCTAAACTCATAGCATAAATTCCTTTCTACAAACACCACTGGTTCCCCCCCCCCCTCCTCCTCCTCTATAAAGCTGGTGTGGGTCTTCACGCTGATTTCCACGCTGGTGTTCAACCTGGACCTGGGTCTGGCTGTGGCCGTGGTCTTCTCTCTGCTCACACTCATCTACAGGACTCAACAGTCAGTATCATTCAACAGCTCATTTCACATCAGTTACTGTTTAATTATTATCAGACCGTATGTTTATTGGTTGCCATTCCGTTCAGCTTTAAAGAAAATAAAGATAATATGCTTATAATATAAAGAAATATGGCTTTGACATAAAAGTCTACTTAAAAAGATAAACATGGAATTATAATATAAAATACCCGGAAATAAATAAATGTTGATTAATGAAATAGAAGTCCCTAAAATAAAAAATAAACATCCTTTTATAAAAAATATTATAAAACACTATTCTTTCTAAAAGATATTTTGTTTTGTGACATTTATTTTTATTTTGTTAGCATATTTAGTTACTATTTTATTATACATTTTGGATCTGCATACATTATCAAGGTGGGGCAGTGGTGGCCTTAAAGTTTAAAAAAGCCAGCTCGTAACTTAAAGGATCAAATTGGGTCAGTAAAGTTAAAAAAACAGCCATCCCCTTGAATAAAGAAATACTAATTATTTGATTATACAGGGGTTAAGACTGAGAATCGTGTTCTAAATATACTGTATGTGCTAAAGCTTTATCTTGTAGATTTATTTAGTTTTCATTCGTTTTGACTAATTTCATTATATTTTCTCATGCATCTAAGAAGTTTTGTAATTTCTTTGCTCCTCTCCCTTGTCACCCAGACAGACGCGCACCCTCATTAATAACCCCCTGTCTCTCCCCTCTCTCTCCCCTCTCTCTCCCCTGTCTCTCCCCTGTCTCTCCCCTGTCTCTCATCCTGTCTCTCCCCTGTCTCTCCCCTGTCTCTCATCCTGTCTCTCCCCTGTCTCTCCCCTGTCTCTCATCCTGTCTTCTCTTCTAGCTCCTCCACTCTTGTTTTGGGTGGTATTCCCGGTACAGACTGTTACAGAGACGTGGGACTGTACGCTGAGGTAAGCTCAATCTGTCTCACAGCTCTCACAGCAAGTTCCTAAATACCTGTTTGAAGAAACCTTTTGATTAAAGTTTTATGTTGCTCACAATAAGGAGAGCAAAGTAAAGCCTGAAGGTAATCAGGAAGTCAAATGAGAGACAAAAACAACGCTTTCAATGCAGACTCAGAATTTGCATCATTTTTCTTTCTGTCTTTCTTCTGCCTTCCCTGTGTTAAGGTTTATTGAGTATGTAAGTCGCTTTGGATAAAAGCATCTAACAAGTGACATGTAATGTAATGTAATATTTATAGGATGAACATGGTGAGTTCTGTCCTTCTCCACCAGCCTCAACACATCATAGTTATTTTCCTTATAGTCAGTTTTCTAAAGCTATGGACTTCCAATCTTGCCACAAAAAGGTTCATTATGTCATAGTTATAGAGAAAGTGGATGACATAAGCTATACAGACGTTAAGGGATTTTTAAAGGAATACAATCATTAAAGAGCTGACAAAGTTCACAGCTTTGTCAGAAGCTATGTATGCATGGGAAACCACATCTGGATACCATATTCCCCCATGTCAGAAATCAGAAAAAGTGCTCTCTTGGATTATTTTATGGTGGATAATAAATGCTCAAGTGCACTGTAAGGTGCCCCAATGTCCAGGTAAAGGAGATAAAGTGCCCCAGGGTGCCTTTTCAATGGAGAAAACGTGAAGCATTGCCATATAGCAGCTGGTTCCTTTTTCTGCTTTGGGCCCCTAATCCTAGAACACGCACATTTTACTTATATGTTCCTGTTTTGCAACCTTACATTTCTTCCATAATAATACATAAGTATGGAATGAATAGGACAATAAGGGGCAGACACTGGAGAAAATGAATGCAGCAAAGAGTTAAAAACACCTCAGTCAGTCTTATTAATCATTTCTCCAGGTCCCGTCTTTTATCTGCACACGTTACACACTCATTATTAAACTAGAGCACATCGTCTGCAATGCAAATGCAAATTCACACAGCAAGCATCTGATGTGTAGTAACGTGCAGGCGTGTAGATCATTGTCACTCTGAGTAAATGCACTGTTTTCACATAATGGAAAGGCATTCATAAATATAAACCAGTTTGAGAAGTATATATGTTGCAAGCTATCAAAACACGGTGTCTTCCACCAAATAACACAACCAATTATTTTGTGATGGTCCGTTTTTCATAAATGAAGCACTCTGTCGCGCAGCCAAAACACACTCAAATACATCCCTGGCTGAGAAACGCCATCTGTCCCACATCAAAACCCTGAACTGTCACCAAAGGCAATCTGTTTGGGCTCAGAGCAGAGAATCCCTGTCAACATCGCCGCTCTGTTCCCTCCACCTGATCTCCCCTCTGTCAAATACCCTTCATACATCAGTGGTGGTGCATGCTGCAGATATCTGTGAAGAAGTTCTCCCTCATTTGGTTCTCTTTCTTTTTTGTTGTCTTTGATGCAATAGCCAGAGCTTTTTTAAACTTCAGATCTGTGTGTCCCTGAAGTAGACATTTATCAAAGGGGTATATATGTTTCAAAGACGGTTTCAAATGCATTTATTCCTTACTCGGTTTGTGCCATTTGGGTAGCAAATACAGACTTTAAATGCAACATATTTAGCCAATTCTGATCCAGGGTGTCGCTATTGAGCCAAGTTGTAAAATGCAGGTGCAACATTAAGTCCTGCTTGTGTCTCTGTTGTTCTTGATGTTTTTCAGGCAAAGCAAGTCCCTGGAGTGACCATACTCTCCCATTCCAGTCCTATTTATTTTGCCAACTCTGAACTGGTCTTCACACAGATCAGACAGGTGCCAACACACACACACACACACACACACACACACACACACACACACACACACACACACACACACACACACACACACACACACACACACACACACACACACACACACTGAATGAAATAAAAGAGGATCATTCAGATCAAATCAAGAGTTGATGTTTAGTCATAGAGTTGAGATGAATTTGACTTTTCCTCCACACATCCAGACAGTGAGTCGTGATCAGAAGGAGAACCCAGCTCCCTCATCAGCCGAGACGACGACACACACTCATTGCTTGGTTCTAGATCTCAGCTCTGTCACCTTCATGGACTCTGTGGCCAAAACAGGACTCTGCAAGGTGAGGGAATTATAAAAGTCATCTTCAGTTTTTTTTAGCTAAACACCCCAAAACATCTCGTAAATGATTGATTTGCATTCTTGATTATTGTGGTTGGCACTAATTAGCATGTTGAGTTTGCACCTTTTGTGCCCACAGATTGCCTGTCAATCAAACGGTGTGAGTGGGACATTTGACCTGATATTACCTTTGAGTTACTGCAGCTGATGCTCTTTCTTTGTCTGAGAATCAAACAATCGCTCATGCAACAAATTATATTTCTTACAAAACACCTACTTCATGCTTTTGAATCCCTTTCTACTTTTTCAATGTCTTACCAATGTGATAGTTTGACACTTTGTTTGCTGGAAATACGACATGTGCAAACAAAACAAAAAATTAAGCACATTAGTTGTTTCAAGTTATTTTTAGCTTGACTAGATTTAGCACTTCAGTCATTTCTGTTAAGTTGAAAACATCACTGTGTGATGGTTTGCTCTTAAGCTGCCCATTCTCAATCTGTAGTGGTCAGTTGCCGTAATGGTTGGCTGTCCTCACACTGGCTCCTCTCTGCGGATCAAAGACTCTGACAATAAATTCTTATTTAAGGTCAACTAGATGACCAGTAATTGCCAGTTGGATAATGAGGATATGAGACACACCCTCTAATGGTCTCAAACTTCTCCCAGTTTTTGATGAATCACTAATTTCACTGATATGCCTTTGTTATCTAATACTGTTCTTTGACCTCATTGATAAAAGAAGAAGAAAATTCATTCATCAACCTCACAGACTTTTAACACATATGTAAAGAAAAGGTGTGTGTGTGTGTGTGTGTGTGTGTGTGTGTGTGTGTGTGTGTGTGTGTGTGTGTGTGTGTGTGTGTGTGTGTGTGTGTGTGTGTGTGTGTGTGTGTGTGTGTGTGTGTGTGTGTGTGTGTGTGTACCAGGTTGTAGAAGACTTGGGACTCCAGGGTGTCAGTGTGTGTCTGGCAGCGTGCCCAGGTGAGCTTTATGTTTCATGCTCATGTATCTCCTATAGAGCTAAGTCTCTTCACACACACACACACACACACACACACACACACACACACACACACACACACACACACACACACACACACACACACACACACACACACACACACACACACACTCTTTGTAAAGTTGGGCTGCCGTGCTTTCTCAGGTCAGTTTCCCACTACCCCTCCCTTACTGTAGCTCTGCTTGACACATAGCTTTCTTTTTCATGTATAAACCGTAACAGTTTGTGTGCTGCAAATCATCACATCAACACATCCAACCACAAAACCAAGCAATATTTTTGTCTCATTTACCTGCATTGTGGAATTGTTCCCTGTGTCTGTCAACAGAAACAGTGTTATCTAAGCTCCAGACTCAGGGTTGTATACGGGACAGCCTGCTCAGCTCCTGTGTCTTCCCATCGGTCCATCATGCTGTCCAGCGCTGCCTCAGCACCCTGCCCAAGCCTCTGGAGGTACGCATCTGTAGACAAAAAAAGGAACAATTTCAACAGTGTTTTAAAATGATGTATATTTTCTTTGCCCTTTTTCTTATTTAGCAATTAAGATATTTTCTTATACCATTTGAGCCCTAAGACATTTTTTGTTGAATTGGACCATGAGTTTTCCAGTATTCCTGGAGGCACATTAGAAGGGAAATCCACTCAGCAGTCTGTTTACAGGTGTCAAGAAATACTGCTGCATGTGTGAAAAAAAACATGGGATAAAGCAGGGGTGTCAAACTCAAGGCCCGGGGGCCAAATCCGGCCCGCGACTTAATTTCCTGTGGCCCCACAAGAGCTTGCAAAGAATATAATATAAATATTATATGGTTACATGCCGCTTTACAGAAACACATTGCCCATAAACTACATGTCCCACAATGCATTTCAAATTAGACTTTTTTCTCGGAATTGGATTTTTCTTTTCAAAATGTTACTTTTTTTTAAAAATGTCACTCGTTTTTCCAGAATTTGGCTTTTCTTTTTAAATAATTTTGTGACTGGCGCACTGAAGAGACTTGCAATTGTTTGCCCTAGACTTCTGCTTTCAAACGTAGTTAATTATGAAGTTATTACCCTGTCCGATAATAATCCAATGCAGAGGCAATAATGTTATATAATACATTATTTTATATATATTAAATATTTATATATTTAAGCAATCATTACAAGCAATCATACACGCCTGTACTCCAGTACAGCGCGTACGGACCTCGGCGCAAGCGCCTCGTCTCGCCGGCAGTTACGTCGTACCAATAATGACGTCAAGATACGGGCCTCAAGTGTATAATTGCCGATTCGTATCTACACAAACTATCATTTTGTAATCAACAATATCGTAAATAAATTAATTTCATAATGTGGGCTAATTTGCTTCCCAAACCTACGCTTCGCATTGAACGTTAGCATCCCGTCAGGAAGGAGTTTCCACAAAGTAGTTTCCCGATGGTAAAGAAAAGCCTGCCGGGTTCAGTTGAAAACAGCCGCATCTTTCGGGTTGGCTGGGTCCAGTCTCAAACATTCAATCAATCGAGAGCCCCCCACAAGATGCAAAATTAGAACTTAAAAAAAATCTGACATTTTGTAGCTACCGATTTTCCAACGGAGGAGACAATGTATAAACATGTTTAACGGCGTGTATCGCTAAACCCCGTATGGGGAGAAAACCCACACGGATGTAGGCTCATGGAAAGTAGTTGGTAGGCTAAGTTGGCTAGTGTTTAGGCCACTGGATACTTTTATGATTAGGCACGTCTATTTGACGTGTGACGGTGAATTCCAACGAACCCTAATGGGACCAACCAGGAGGGCTTTCTCAAAAAAACTATGTGTTTATAGAATGTATTCTTATAAACGATCTCTCTCTTTTCCTCCTTCCCCCGTTTGTTGTTGTTGAGAGAGGATCGTGTTATATAAGAATAAATTCTATACTAACACCATAGTGTGTTGAGGCAAGCTCTTCTGTGGCAATAGGCGTGTTGATTCCCGGGATTCAAACAACAGATTCAAGTTAAGAACGTGCCTAATCACAAAAAGTATCCAGTTGGCCTACCACCCGCCACTAAGCCTACCAAAAACTTACCTCCCATGGAGCCTACATCGTGTGTTTTCCATTTAGCGAGTGGTTTAGCGACACCCACAAGCCGTACCACTGTGTATACATTGTCTCTCTGTTGGGGAAAACGGTTTGTTAGCTAACAAAAATGTTCAGATTTTAAAGTTAATTTTGGATGTTGGGGCGGGCCTCGGTATGATGATTGTTGACATGGGACCACAAGACCACAAACCAAAACGAAGAAGATTGTGGCTGGTTTCAAACTGACGAGCGGGCATACGTTTACCATGGGGGAACTTACTTTGTAGGAACTACTTTCGACGTGGAATTTAACTTCAAAAGCAGAAAGCGTTTAGATGGTAGGTTTGGGAGCAAAAATTAGCGCCCACCATTAAGAAAATTATTTACGATATTTGTTTGATACAATGATTATTTGTGTAATAGAATCCAAATTATACACCTTGAGGGCCGTTTTCATTGAAACCGCCCGATTATTGGTCGACGAGTACTTGCGGGCAGGGACCGAAGGGCAGCTTGCGCCAGAAAGGGGCCGTGACGCCTGTACTGGATATAGCAGGCGTGTATGAATTGCTGATATGGATTTGCCTGTTAAATATATAAAATATTAATATATATAAAATATTGTATTATAATAAACATTTATGCCTCTGCATGGATTATTATCGGACAGGGAATAAACTCATAATTAACTACGTTGAAAAGCAGAAGTCTAGGGCAAAAAACAATTGCAAGGTCCTTCTTCAGTCCGCCATGTCACAAAATTTATTAAAAAGAAAAAGCCCAAAATCTGGAAAAAAACGAGTGACATTTTTAAAAAAAAAGTTAACAATTTTTGAAAAGAAAAATTTCCAATTTCCGAGAAAAAGAAGTCTAGATTTTGAAATGGCGATTGCTGGGGACCATGTGTAGGTTTAAAAAATGGCAATGTGTTTTCTTATAAAAGCGCAGTGAACCATATAATATTTATTATATTATATTCTTTGCAAGCTTCTTGTGGGGCCACAGGAAATTAAGAGTCCAGGGCCGGATTTGGCCCCCGGGCCTGAGTTTGACCACCCCTGCTTTATCCCATGTTTTTTCACACATGCAAGCATTATTTCTTGACACCTGTAAACAGACTGCTGAGGTGATTTCCCTTCTAACTGTGCCTCCAGGAATACTGGAAAACTCATGGTCCAATTCAAACAAAACATGTCCTTAGGGCTTCAAATGGGATAAGGAAAAGATCTTAATTGGCGTAAATAGAGGAAAAAAGGCAAAGAAAATTATACATTCATTTTTAAAACACTGTTGAAATTGTTTCCTTGTTTTGCTACAGAATATGCTACCGCCAGAGCTTGGGCGAGGTTGCTGAGGCGAGCGCTGGACGGCAGATGGACCCGATGGGGAAGACCCAGGAGCTGAGCCAGGCGTGTCCCGTATACAACCCTGAGTCTGGAGCTTAGATAACACCTGTTCTGGTTGACAGACACAGGAACATTCCTCACAACAATGCAGGGAAAATGAGACAAAAATATTGCTTTTGTGTTGATTGTTATGTGATGATTTCGCAGCCACACAAACTGTTACGGGGTTATACATGAAAAAGAAAGCCTATGTGTCAAAGCAGAGCTACAGTAAGGAGGTAGTGGGAAACTGAACCTGAGAAAGCTATCGGCCATGCTCCAACTTACAAAGAGTGTGTGCGGGTGTGGTCGGTGTGTTGTGTGTTTGTGTGTGTGTGTGTGGGTTGTGTGTNATTATGCAAAATTCACTTTTTGATGTCTTTTACATAAACATGTGTCCCCTCTGTGTAAAGACATTCTGAAAGTTTCATGAAAAAATATTTGCTCACTTTTTGTCCTGATCCATTTATATAGAAAACTGTCTGAAAATGAGCTGATCAGATTTTGGCCACTTTATGATGTCGTACCAATTTTTCATTAGTCAATAACCAACCAAGGTAACCCGCCCTTTGTTCCCCACCGTTAGACATTTCTTGGCGAGTAAAGATGTTTGAGGCTAAACTCGCAAAAAGGTGTCAACCCTGCAATTTGTAAATCATGTACTTGAAATGCTGCCCCCAATTTGTTAGAAGTATGTGGCCAGACATGAAACATTGCTCCTTTAAAAAAAGATTTAAAGGCTTAATTCAGGATTAAACAAAAGTACAATTCTCAACTCAAAACATATTAACAGAATATTCGAGAGAGACCATAGCCAAGCAGTTTCATTTATTCACAGTAAACAAAGCATATAGCTATCTAAATCACTCTAAATTGGAAACAGTGTACTGATGTTTAATATGTAGCAATACAAAAACACTACATTTGAGAAAAATAACATTTGTGTCCAATTAATTGAAAAAGAAAACTATCTAGGCAGTGCTTCAGTAGTGTATCTGTTTCAGAAGCAGCATGAGGTTTCTGATGCGTTCGGCACGGCAGCGAGGCGACTGGTGGAGCGGTAGCTCAAAGAAAGAGAAGGTGAAGCTCCGAGAGAAACTGAGGTTGGTGACGGGACGCAGGGGCGGGAGACGGGTGGGGCGAGGCAAACGCCGCTGGGGCAACAACCTCCGCCTCGCACGCAACCCTCTGACCCCTCCACCTGCAGGGGGAGAGGAACAGACATGTTGAAATCAAATGAGTCACAACACTTTGAAAAAGATCAGGGCCCTTATTCAACAGTGGCTGACCCATTCAGTTGTTTTCAGCACCCGGTGGTCTCAGGACTCAGTACTAAAGAGTGTGTGTCATGAACAACTTCTTCACTCTCCTATGTATAACTTACTTTAAATGAATTTTAGTGACTTCACATAGCAGATCCCATACTGCAGAGTTTGTCTTGTGTTAGCGGGAAAAGCACAGGTGTAAATAATAGCCTTAAAGGTCCCCTATTATACTATTTTCTGGCGTATATTATAGGTGTCAGATATATAAAAAACATGTCTAAGTGTTTTTGCTCAAAATACCAAACAGATCATCCATTCTAGCCATGCCTCATATCCCTTTATTTCAGCCCTGTTAGAGAAGTGCTGACTCTGGGTCCGAAGCTTTAAAAAAAAAAAGGAGGGGGAGCTTATGCCTGCTCATGCGGGAGAATTCTATCGGCAGATGCAGCTCAATGCTGCCGTGATTAAACGCCATATCATGTTCAAAACCACATCAAGGATTATTTCTGAAACTGGAGCTCAAAGGCTTTCTCTCTGGGTGGGTCTGCATTGCCAATATGACGTCATATCGGACGCAAATTCTGTATATAATATATCATATTCAATCACTTGCATATAGACTCTTATTGCACTATTCCACTTTTTTACTATATTTTGTATTTACTTGCATCTATTTTTGTCTGTTTTCTTGTGTTGCACTGTTGGAGGAGCCTGTGACCTAAGATTTTCATCGTCATAACTACACTGTAGCTATGTACGCATGACCAATAAAAGCTTTGAACCTTGAACTTGAGGCAACTGCAACATGGATGCTTTGTCGAATAGACTAACAATTTAGCAAGCTAGCCAACAGGTGATGTAATGCAGGAAATAAAAAGGCATAATAACAGAGAAATAGTTGAGGCTGTTTAAAATTAACAAATAAAAACGTTTGATGACTAAAATTACAATAACGATTACTTACCATCTACACAAAATGAAGATCCATGGTCTCTGACATTTATGAAAACATCAGCAAACACATCACATCTTGTGTATTTCTGAGCTTTAAGAAATGTTCCATTTGGGTGTTTGTGAAGACCAGAAGACGGCAATGTTAACTCTAGTTGTGAACACAGTGAAACATACCTTTTAAGGGCAGCAATAGTTACAGGGTCAGTGAGAGGATTTATTGGGATAGCAGATGAAAAAGGAGACCTCGTTAATGTTGTTTGTTACACCTATGATTATTCTGCTATGACTGGTCTAATCAGTCTGACTGAGAACAACTGTGTGATTACGGCATATATCATACATTTGGCACAGCAGACATCTCAACCTGTCACAGTAGGAAAAGCACAGGTGTTACTAATAAAACAAATAATGTCTCTGTTCATTTTTGTTTTCTGTTCAAGTTTAGCAGTTAGCCATTGACGTGGTACAATGAGCCAACATGCTCGACAGATCAGGACCTAAAGCAGCTTGATGGAATTTGGCCACCATTTATTTCATTGTGTACACATGTGTCTTTCCACCCTTATACTGTATGTCCAAAATGTCCTCAGTGATTGTACATTTCCCCACTGTGGGACAAATAAACAAGTTGGATTTTGAAATGTAGCTAAATGTGCTAATGCTTATGTTATTATAGGTTCTAGTAGTCAGGGAAAGTCCACATTGTGTTGTCATAGTGGGCTTGTCTTCTGACATTTTAGCATTATTAATGAAAGCTAACATTTATAACACTATTGTATCTAGCTATGTTACCAAGTTGTACGCAGTTAGCTATAGCTAAGAGTTAGCTAGTTTATGATTGTTGCTAGGTTGTGGTTAGGCTTAACTCATATCCAAATCGGTTTAAATTTCATAGAGAATTGACTGTTCTTCAAGGGGTGTCTTTCCTGCCTTCCCATACTGCATTTTTTTTTACATTATTTATACTAATAATTCTCTAATATTTGAGCTTTGGGGGTTAGTCCTGATGACTGGCCCTTGTTCTTCAGACCTACCTGTGGCACTGTCCTGAGGGACTGCACCAGGCGGAGATGGAGAGTTGAAACTTGAACTTGAAACGTCCTCGTCTTCGTTATGTCTGTCCCGGTAAGGAGTGGAGGGCGTGGGCTGTGGAGGGGGAGGGGGTGGAAGGGGAGG